GATAAAAAGGAAAGAAAATTAATATTAATTTTTTAATATAAAAATGCATACATAAAACGTATTAATAGAATAATAAAAAATAAAAAGTTCAATTTAGTATGAATTTTTCACTATGAAAACAAAATTTTACACTAAAACCATCAAATAAAAGTGTAGAGTTACCTATATGTCAGACAAATATGACAAATTTTCACTAATTAATAACTTAATGAATGTCATTATAGAAAGAAAAGAAAACTGAGACCAATACAAGCTTACATTTTTTTTCCCTACAATTCTCAAAACTTTCTCTTTAAAATTTCTTCCCTAACACGAAAATTCTTATGCTTACTTAATATTCCTTTAATTTTACAAACTACAGCATAATATAAGACTATTAAGTTCCTATTGACTCAGATTATTAAATTCGGTGAAAAATACAATAAATATGAAATTATATTGTCATTCAATTGTTTTTAATGTGAAGCATACTATGCCTAATTTGATTTTAAAAAGTTAAATTATTTTATCTTAAAATCAACAGAATCATGTGACATCTTTTCCACATCAGTATGTGATGTATGGGTGATGCCAACCAACAAGATGTATAGAGGGTGCTAACTCTCAGTCTGGAGAGGTGCCAAAAGTTTAGTTTCCAAGAGGGAGATCTACAGAGAGGTCATATGGAAGGCTCGTGGGAGCCATTAATGAAACGAAATACTTGTATTTTTATATATTTCAGTTATTAATATTGTAGTTTAGTATTAGTTTTGTGTTTGTGAAATAAATGTTTAAAATACAAGAAGGTGGAGCTATTTCTCTATGAGGCGGTGGATGAAGAAAGGGATGATTATCACACAGTAATTTGATAAAAATCTTTTTTGTTGTCATTTATTTATTTATCACATGAGAGACGTTTCTTAGTATTTGGCGGTGAAGTATGCATGGGATTTATCCCTAAGAATGCATTATATTACTTCTTAGTTTCAAGTGTTTTGGTGGATCAACATTTTAAATAGTATTTGCATAACTTTGCAATTTGCTACACAATAATAAAATCAACCACTTATCTGCTATTTTATAGCAGCATAGTTTAATATAAATTTTGCATTTTGTGCATTCTGGTACTCCAAAATTTTAAAACACATAACCAAGGAAAATAATATTAACTAATAACAAACATATACGAAATGTGCAATTTTTGTTTACTATTTATGTACAGTTTACTATTAAAATGATAAAATTCTTTAATTGCAATGAATTTTGGGAAAGAAGCAAATGTAATGTAATTTCATATCAAAACCAAAATTTCAATCATTGCTTTCATTATCATCTATAAGCTAAATCATCTATAATCTTTGAAAAATCCACATACTGTAAGTTTAAATTGCAAGAATTCAAATGTGCACTATTTAAATCAAATAGAAAATAGTAAACATTTTAAAACTACCCAATTAGTGCAAATCAGTTTTAGAAATTATTATTATTAGAGTCTTTAAAAATATAATGCATGCTATGTATTAAATATATCTTTACACAAAAGATAAGGACATATATTTGTATTTATTAATAAATTTCAGGTACAAGTGCAACTATAAGTTACTTATTGTCATTTTTAACAGTACAGGACATCATAAAATTCATAAAATTAGTGAATGTAAAGTAATTACAGTAATTCAAATCTTATAAGTACGTACATTAAAATTATACATACCCAGAGAAACTACAAAATTTTAAAGTTCTTCCATCACCACATTTTAATACACCACATTCATTCTACGAATTATCACAAAAACTTTTTATATATTTTTTTTTTATTTTGAAAAACAAATTGCAGGTAGTGCCAAGGTCTGATACAAGTAGCGAGTAATCACTAAGAAAAAAAAAAACCTGAATGAGCAAATGAGAAACTTCACAAGTCTATTGCTGGCCTTCAAAGCATTAAGTCTTTAATTTCAAGATGAAAATTTTATATGATGATCTATTATGCAAACATTCACTTCAATCATCTCATGAGTTAGCAGACACTGACATCTACCCAACATCTATCACAAGCTGTTCACCTTCTAGTGGCAAACATCAATTTAAAATCCCCTGTTGGAATTACTGCTATCTTGTAAAGTGGTGTGCATGGCAAACCTAGACCCTAGGCTTTGAAAATATACTTTTAAATAGCTCCAACAAGCTTCATGAGTCCATCAGTTGTCATAGATTTTGGTCGTTCCAGAGGCAGACCCATTCCACGGTCCCATACTAAGGATGCCATTACACCAAGGGCACGTGATACACCAAACAGAACAGTGTAAAACTGCATCTCTGTCATACCATAGTACTGAAAAATGTTAAATAAAAACAAGAAATATAAGCGAGATGTAAACAATTTATTTATTTCATTAAAATTACTAATCAAGAAAAGTAAATGATATCATGATAAATTCACTAAGAATTTAACTATGGAACATAATTTATTCACAAATATTATAGCAAATAATTACTTGCAGCTAGAGCTTTGGAATGGTACAAAAACAAAATATTTCATTATAAACTTTTTTTAATATGCTTGCTGATAGAAACACACTGGAATGCCTGAACCAATTTTTTTTTTAAGTCAACAGATTATTTTAAATGCAGTAAGAATGGCTGCTATGATACATATGAAATTAAATAATTCCAGAATCAGGAAAACCATTAACAACAACAAAAAGGGGGGGAACAAGACAAACTTCATGAGATACTGCAATGCTGGCTGGTTCATCACTAAATGTGTGCAGGAAAGCTTTATCAAAGATGTCAACATGAGGCAGTTACCATCTTTACTGTACATATAAGTGTTCAAAGGTAACTCATTCATGTATATCCATGAAACTATATTAGCTATTCTAAGCAGTTCAGTAACAATAGCCATTTATTGAATATATATTCAAAAATAAATATGGCTGTTTTACATTACCATGGCAACTCATAGACAACATACTTGAAACAAAGATTCATTTGAGGAGGATTTTCTATGAAAAATTGGCTCACATATATGATCTGAAATATATTATGCAGCAAAATCTACACCAGCTTAGAATACACAAGCAACTCACTCTAACATTACTGAATGTGAGACTGACTGTCAAAGCTGTTAGACTTTAGCCATTCAGCCACTTGGTAGAAAGATTCTCTCCAGAAAATCCAGCATATATTCTAAATCTGCAGCTGTTATTCTGTTCAAATTAAAAATTATTATAATCCTTAATACATTTTTATTATCCAATATAACACTAGCTGCTAAATTTTTATGAGTGCAGGAACCTTTATGCCAAAGTGCCCCTGTGAAGAATTTTGTCTTGGCAAATAGCCAACCAGTAGTATATCATTACGAATTATCCTTGGTTCTTTACATACTAAATTTGTAACAACTTTACTCTTCAATAAATACTATATTTAACAATATGAACAGTTAAAATTATATTAAAATTTATTTCATTTTAAGGTAAGTTATAGCTTTTATAATATTCACTATTTAAAAATAGAAAAGGAAGAAACTTGTATACTCAAATATAATAATATATGTATTTATATGTTTTCAATATATTATATTCCTTCATTTGCTAATGCCAGTATTCATAGTTTCACCTATCTGCAGTTAACTATGCCTCTTTTTCATTGGGGGGGGGGAGAGCTTGAATTTATGGCGAGGTTCTGACGTGATAAAAATCCATATGACTATGGACTCAATGTCAGCAAGCATTTTGCAAATGTTGGTGGCTCCATAACTGAATGAGCAGTTTTTCGTAACATGGTTTATATCTTTTAGCTGTTATAGACGGCTATCCAAATGGTAAGATTTAAATCTCTCCTGGAGATTTCTACCAACTTAGCTTTTATTGTTGTACCACTGGTTGAAAATGTAAATGATACTATAAAATAAAGAGCACAGCATTTTCTCACTCCAGTACTTTCTATTGACAGTTAAAGTAAAACAGCGAACCTCTTCAGTTTTTTGATATAAAATGCATTGAAAAGGGGAAAATTAATACATTTATTATTATTTTATTGAATGCTGATAAAGTCTTGCTGTGTAATTTATTAATTTATAATATTTATGCATGTATCATGAATACTGTATTGCATATTATGTTGCATGATACTGCATTTTATACAATCCTTGGTTGGAAAATGTTGCCTGAAAATATTTGTGGCCACATTTGATTAATACATTTTAATGCTAATTTTTGTAAATTGATGTTCATTAGAAAACTAAACATGAAAATCTTCAATTGCCAATAGATGTGCATCAACTTTTATGGTCAGGTATACAATCGCTGTTGTGGATTCAATTTCCTTTAAAAAAATCTTGCTTTAAGGGAATTTAAAAAATTACATGGAGCTCCATTATTTTTTCCATACTTATATTTTAATTGCCAATGAATTATTTAAGTCAGTGATATTTTTTTTGAAATAAAAAAAATGATTCACTCTACATTTCTAAGTGATTTTACTTTCATTTTGTTTATGATTTAAGTAATATTAGTAGAGCTTTCCTTTAACATTTTTATCACAGTCTATTTAGATTATGTTTTTCATGAAAGTGTCCTGCCAACGCAAATAGTTCACATGGGTGTACTTAATCATATTTTGGCAAATGATTTTTGGCATTTGAAAGAAAGACTTGCTTTAGAAAACTGTGCTGTGAAATTTGTAAAAAAAAATTATTAAGTAAAATGTGTCTAAAATGGAACTATAATGCTACCAGGTGAGAACTAGTATTTACTTCTAGTTCTGTTGTAAAATGTCAGCTAAAGAATCTCACCAAATTATGTGTATAGCTTTATGTACTAATGTTGTATCATATGAGACTCTGACAGTTTTGGTACCGAAAGTTAAAAAACAAGGACTATGGCATTCAAGAAGCAGAGCGCTCGGGCTGGCCTACTTATGATAATGAGTAGGACATCGTATGATGAGCATTCCCGCCTGCAATAACTTGCAGAAGGAGATCAGTATGCAACCACTCGAGACCTTGCTAAAAAGTTAGATGTTAGTGTCATGTCCATTAGTCACACTATGCATTGAATAAACATGATTTACAAGTTCAATTGCTGGGTGCAGCATGAGCCGACTGAAGGACAGAAATGTTCGGGCATGCATTAATCTGCTCGAATATCAATGCAAGGACTAAATTCTGGACTGGATCATAATTTGCGATGAAAAGTGGATTTACTTCAGCAACACAGGCCGAAAAGGGGGTTCATCTCTGAACGGTGAGCCCATTGGCAGCATCACAAAGTGCAATTTGACAAGCAAAACGATCATGCTTTGTGTCTGGTGGGATTGCCATGGTATTACCTGCAAAAAGTATCTGGAAAGAGGTCAAACCCTTGGCAGTAAGGTTTAGCGCGAGATGCAAGTCCATGTTGAAGCTGCTATCAAGGAAAAATGTCGAACTGGGTTCCGAGACAAAAAGGTGAAGTTTCATCACGATAATGCAAGAGACCACCAGTGTCTGCATTCATCGGCTGAACTCTATATGGACGCAAATGGGATCTTTTGCCACACCTACCGCATAGCCCTGACATTGCTCGTTTGGACTTCTACCTTTTTTCACACCTGCAGCTACATCTTTGCTGGTGCTATCTTTCATTCTGACAGGATATCCGAAATGAGGTTGATCTGTTTTTGGACTCGTGGCCACCAAGTTACTGGGTTATAGGCTTTGAAAAAACTACCACAATGCTGGCAGAAAATTATAGATCTGGGTGGTGATTACTACTCACACTAAAGGTATTACTTTCTCCCCCCTAACTTTATTAAGAATATTTTGTGACGGAAAGCTTTTGTTACAACCAGATACATGTATTTCTTTTGATATAAATTTCTGAGATTCTAAAATCTTGACATAAATGTACTTATAGAAAATTAAATAAATATACTCTCAAGTGAAGAAAACATATCATACCTGTAATAAAACACCACTGTGGGCATCAACATTTGGCCAAGGATTTTTGACTTTTCCCAACTCTAGTAAAATTGGAGGAACAACTTTATAGATGGTTGATACTAATTTGAACATTGGATCCTGTGGCAGGTGTTTCATGGCAAATTCACGTTGTGCTACATAACGAGGATCAGTCTTCCTCAAAACTGCATGACCATATCCTGGTATAACCTGTAATTCAAATCAATTATTACAATAAATGCTTTAATAATCAGAACACTGAATTAAATAATTGAAAACATAAAAGTAGCTTTCTATAGATTACCTGTCCAGATTTCAGGGTTTTCCACACAAATTCTTTTAACTGTTCTTCAGTTACGTCAGTTCCAAGTTCTTTTTGAAGTTTTGTAAGCCAGACTAGAACTTCCTAAAATTTTTCTTAAAGTAAATCACTACACATACAGTAAAACATTGTCAACATTTCATATAGTAAATTACACACAGCATATATGAAACTGTTTTACCACAGGAATATTACACGCATATTTATATTAACGGTTCTTGAAATAACGAATGGTGCACTCTGATACATCTGAATGAGATCCAGATGCCTCATTTAAACAATCTTTTCACATAAAGATACTCAAATTATATATGGTAAATTTTAAACTTATGCTTAATTCGAGGGAAACTTAGCCTTGTTGTAATATTTTTAATGTAATTAGAAGATGAATAATTATTAAAAAAAGATTAAGAGCTGCTTCATTAAGTTTAAAAGAATATGATCAATGAGCTATTAGACTTTATGAAGCTGGAAATATGAAAAGTTAATTAAGTCCACACTGGGATTTGAACCACGGATCTCATGCTACTACCAATTATAATAGCATGCATGGGAAAATTCAATAATTCCGTACATTCTCTCCTGCTATAGATATGCATCAGCTTTTGATAGCCAATATGCAAGATGGAGATCACCTGCTCTCTGTTGTTTACATTTTGAAATCAAAGTTTTTTTTGCCATGAGCTGTGTTGTGCATTCTACTGTATCATAAAACACCACAATAAGGCATATTCTTTATATATATATATTTTTTTGATACTTTCACTTGATTTACATATGTTCTCAGAATTTAAATGATATTGTAGATTAGTTTGCAGCAATAATTAATCATTATTTGTAATTCAATTTCATTTAAAATTTAATTAACTTTAATTTGCTTTTTATGAAGAGAATGTTTGTTAAATTCATACATATATATTTATATATTATATATACACACACGGATAAAATTTCATTCAATATGACTTACAGAGGATGTTTGCACATTTTTAGAGTGATATCGATTGAGAATTTTAAAAAAGCAAATGCTTTGGAATAACGATTTCTGGAAACAGCTCATTATGTGAAATAATTACTGCTTTAAATTTGCCTTTATTTCAAAATACTGCATGCAAACAAGTTGTGAATCGAAGGATATGTGTTTGCGCTTTCTGAAGAGAAATATTCCTGTTCTATGATTAAAAAATGTTGAGAAATGCTTGGTTTAAAAATGCCTCAGTGTAAAATATGCAATATTATTAATCAAAGAGGTACAAACCATCACTTATATTTACATGGAAAGACAACTCCAAATGAATACTTGAAAAAGGTACATACATTTTCTAATGTTCCTAATGTTAAGTCATTGACAACACGATAAATTCACCAACACAGAAATCTATTGCAAAGTCTTTAAAGGTCTATTTATTATTGAAAATGAAGTGAAAAATTGTAAAAACCTGATTCCATCAATGCAAAGAAAGTTTCAATAAGGAGTTTAGGATTGTCTTAGAATTCCCTTACAAAGAAAATTAAAAATAAGAATGGGGAAAATATTAAAATCAATTCAATATACAAGTATAGATGAAATTAAAATGGAGCAGTAGCCACAAAATGAAAATATACTATTGATTTTCAAATCTAATCACCAAACTTACATGAGCACTTGTCCCATTGTTGCACCAAGAGCAGTAAACACCTCATTCATAGAAAGGGGTTTGGCCGAAATTGAAACCAGTTTTGCACTGTGTCCATGACTTCGCTGTTCGAGTTTGGATGAAATTGGAACAACGGTCACAATTTGATACTTTTACGTGACTGTCATGAAAACTGTGTGTAAAGAGCAGAAGCTAAAAAAGACAACCCCTATTGCAGAATGGGCTTGCCCTAGATAATCATGCATAACTCCATAATACACGCTGGCTGTCAGCCAACAGTAATGTCCGGCAGGCAATGATTTGTCGATCATTTGCATAATGTTTGCAACTAAAGAAGAGCAACATAGTGTTGTTCATTTTTTAGTGGCAAAAACTGTTGGAGTTCGTGAAGTGTATCGCCGAATGAAAACAGTACACAAAGAACACTCATATGAAAGACTGGCACAAGTGTTTCTGCAAGGGACGGAAATCTTTGAGAGGCAATTCGTGACCTGGTCAAAGTCACCTCGTAATCATGGAGGCTTTGGTGAATGAAGCTGACCAGATCATCTGTGCAAATAGATTATGTACAATAAAAGACTTCAGTGAGATGGTGAGTTTTGGTGAGTGCTGCAAGTTTTGGTTCTGTTCATACCATCATTATGGAGAAATTGAGTGCCACACAATCTCACAGACAATCAGAGGTGGCTTCGCATGGGATTGGTTTTGCAGCATCTTCTCCAATATCGTGCTGAGGATAATTTCTTGGACACAGTTGTGGCAGGTGATGAATCCTGGCACCATCACTACCAACCATAAAGCAAATGCAGCGGCCCACAGATGTCTAGAAAAATTTAGAGTAAGGACAAAAACACACCAAATTTTTTTTATATGAAAGGGCCCGCTTCTCATCAAGTTCCTGGCTCCAGATCAAACGATCTGTGCTGCTTAGTACTGCAATACCCTATAATGTTTACATGCAGCAATCACAGGCAAGTGGCTAGGTATGTCGTTCTCTGGAGTGCTTTTCCTCCACGACAACGCTTGGCAACATATGGCCACTTGCACAATGAACGTGCACAGATTCAGTGGAGTGTATTGGAACACCCACCGTATAGCCCGAGTTTTCACATCTTTGGTCCACTACAAAGGGCATTGCGGCATCAACATTTTCACTCAGACAGCAAAGTCATGGACACAGTTTGAAACTGGTTTCAATCTGAGCCAATTTCTTTCTATGAAAAAGGTATTCACCGCTTGGTGCAACAGTGGAACAAATGCGTATGTAATTTTGGTGATTACCTTTGAAAATAAATAATACCTTTTCATTTTGAGGCTACCTGTTCCGTTTTCATTTGATACACCCTCATATTATCAAGAGAATGTTTATAGAAGAAATTCTATTTCTTTATCCCAGGGATTTTCAATGAATGATCAAGAAAAAACAACTCACTTAAAAAAGCACCACATTCCTTGAAACTATGAAGACTGATATAGGTATTGCATATATACCTTTTTAACACGAACTATTGTGCCTTAGGTCTCTTGAAAAGAGCTCTTTCTAAGTGCGAACCCACCTCAATTGATGGTTTCAGGAAAGTAGTGGAAGAGGAATAAAAATAAACAGCCATGAAATTTTATGAAAAGCCCTTTCTATCAAAAATCATGATGTAAATTTAACAGTCCAGAAAAAAGGCTATCAGATAGAATATTTTAAAAAAGTCTGGTGTGGACATCACAACTTGCTAGTATGCCTTTTTAAACAACATTTTTTGCTACATTTCATTTAAACTTATTTCCTCGAATTTCATTAGAGATATAATTCTTATTCAATCAATGAGATAAATTCTGGTGACCTCATGGATCACGTGACTTAAAAGTAACTAACATAAACAAATAATGATCATGTGACTTATGTATAGCTAATGCAAACAAACCAAGTTTTCTTCTCCTCCTTCTTTTGTCTTGGAATATATCGAATATATCTTACTTCGTGCCAAGGCAAAAATACATAAAAACTAAAATAATGTTCATTGAAAAATTGTAAAATAGAGAAAAACCTAAAACACCAAATACAGTTTAAAAAGTTTTCACAATTAAGAATTTTTACCCCAAAACAAGCAATTCTGTTAGTGGGTAGTAAGAGAGAATTTTCAGGGCGCAAAACTGAAAGTTTACTTTTGGTCCCACTCGGCAAAAAAACACTGAAGTTGGTGCAGAAACTGACTTAATTCACTATTCTACTACAAGTTTCAAATGTAAACAAAATGGTGGCTTAATTCAGAAATCAAACAACAAAAATCAGCGTTATATTTTCAAAATTTTCACAGGACTAGTTTCGATGGTTTTACCGAACCACCATCATCAGCTGCAAAACTGCAAATGAACAAGATAGGAAATAATGATTAGATGAGATAATAAAGTCTGGACAAGAGTAAGCAAGTGGCACCATCTGTTGGTGTGCCTTCGGCCTTTAAAGAAATTATATTCTAGTTCTGGTTTCACCAACAGATGGCACCACTTGCTTACTCCTGTCCAGACTTTCTTATCTTATCTAATCATTATTTCCTATCTTGTTCATTTGCGGTTTTACAGCTGAGGATGGTGGTTCGGTAAATCCATCAAAACTAGTCCAGTGAAAATTTTGAAAAATATAACGCTTATTTTTGTTGTTTGACTTCTGAATTAGTATTTGTTCGGCATGTTATTGTGTCTTAAATGGTGGCTTCATTACGCTTAGTAACAACAAATTGTTGACAATTCTACAACTATTGCATGCAGATTAACTAAAGGCATGAAAACCTTAACCGAAACATATAAAAAACAATCAATCAGCTTTAAAGCAAAAAATGCACAATTTACCAACACATAAGAATTATAAAAACTGAGCTTACAGGACCAGACAACAAAAGGTGTGTGTATACATATTCATATACTTTTGTTGTGGCTTATTGCAACCAAAATGGGAGGAGCAAAACTACTTCTTATAGCAGTCCCATGTACAAAATTTCAACGTTTTGAGGTTACTCATTTGAGCTATCCAGGATACATATATATGTATGTACATACATACAGATGCCATAAAAAATCTCTTCTGAATCCATTTTGGGAAAAAGAGTCCTTTATTCTGTCTGTACATACAGGTGTCACACAAAAACATCATTAAAATGGGTATTTTTGTTGAAATAGATACCCACATTTTTTGTGATTTCAATACTGCGTTTACTTCATACCAGGAAGTAAAAAGAACTCTTTACATTTAAAACATTAATTAAATAGCCTCCAAATCACTGGTGATTTCAATTTTTTTTTTTTTTTTTTAATTTAGTTATTTTACTTGCACAACTACACGGGGGGGGGGGGGGGGGGGGGAACTGAGTAATTTTAAAAGAAAATTACACGGAGTTTATAAAAAAAAGCTAAGCTCTATATTCAGCAATTATATAATGTATTCAATTTGTACTCCAT